GGTCTGTGGTGTTGCATCAAGACCCAGGAGGGGTCTTGCACTTGCATCTTAGTGAAGCTACAGATTCTGCTAGTTTGGATGAAGAACTAGTGTTGTTTATGAAACTTTACCTACAGCATTCTCATGGGATCCCATGAAGAATTAAATTTGTGAAACAGACATTTTGCCATCTCAGTCGCTCTGTAATAAATGGAGTATCTTGAATGGAATAGCATGGCCATAAGATTGATTCTTTACATTTAAAAGGAATTTCATAGTTTGTGAAGCAGGTTCTAAGAAAGTCTCTCATTTCTAGGAAGAACCCAGTAGGATTGCTGGGAATGAGGCCTGGGAGGAGTGATACAAATTGGGCCTTGTGACTAGAATTCACACTCCATACTTCTGTGCATGATGCTGGTACACAGCTCACTGAAAAGTTATCATCCTGTCCTGGTGTGGGGCTCTCTGAGCATCTCCCCTGGGTTTTCTATGAACTCACAAATCATAGCTGGATATGTCTCCCAGCCACTGAGAGCATATTTATATCAAAGACTTACCTTTTCTGCCTTTTTACGAAACACGGTTTCTTTCTAATATCAGTGAACTTTGTTCTCTGCAATGTGGTTCCTCAGACATGTGACCCATATAGTCTTTCCATCACATTTTTACTTGCCCCCAAGACGTGAAGAAAGATGTTCGGATACTATTTTTCCAAACACAATGATGACTTCCAGAGTGCCTCGGGCATTGTCCCACCTCCACCTCCTCTCCTGAGATCTGCCTTCAGCGTCTGAGTGACCATGTTGGTGTCAGAGATTACATTTCTTTCTGGTGACAGCATGGTGCCCCCTGAGCACCATGCTTTTCACCACGCTTTTCACCATGCTTTTCATTTCTCACAGTTTCTACAAAAATGTAGAACTGAGTGTCTTCTGTCTTTCCATTGTTGGTAATTTCCCTGGAGTTGTGGACACATAGGACAGTGGAAAGGGCTCTACTAATAAGTACACTGTGGGGAAGAGTATCGACTTGGGTACTCTTGGTCCAACTAGGTGCAAGGCTAGAACCCATGTCAGGTTCTCCCCAGGACTCCCTCTCCACACCTGGCCTTGGCTGAGGAGCTAAGGCGAGCCCAGGGGTCTCTCCAGTTGGAAATAAAGCTCCTAGTCTCCCTGACTTGTTTGAGAGGTTCTCTCAGGGCACATCAGCCCTGATGTGGGAAGGGAGCTTACCTCTGGTCCCTTACCACAACTCATGTTTCTCCTACAGATAACACACTCCCTTTTCCTTCTCCCAGTCTTCCTCTTCTTCACAAGAACACTTCTCTTGTTCATTCCTTTGTGTACTCAGCCAATACTGATGAATTCCAGTAATGGACCACACACTGTTCCTGACACAAAGGACACAGTTAACAAGACAGACAAGTGCCCTGGCCTGATGGAGCTGGCATGTAGGTGATAAGAACACACATGCACTTTAATTTGCATCTCCCTGATGATTGGTGATGTGAGCATCTTTTCATATGTCTATTGGCCATTTGTACGTCCTCTTTGAAGAAGTGTCTATTTAGATCCTTTGCCTATTTTTTAAAATAATTGTCTTTTTGGTGTTGAGTTGTTTAAGTTCTTTATGTATTTTGGAAATTAACCCCTTATCAGGTGTATCATTAGTGAATATGTTCCCTCATGAAGTGGGTTGCTTTTTGATTTTGTTGATTGTCTCTTTTGCTATGCAAAAGCTTACATCACCTCTCAGGATGCCTGTCAGGATGGCTGTCATCAGTAAATCAACAGACAACAAGTGCTGGTGAGGTTGTGGAGAAAAGGGAACCCTAGTGCACTGTTGGTGGAAATATAGACTAGGGAAGCCACTGTGAAAAATAGTATGGAGTTTCCTCAAAAAATTGAAAATGGAACTGCCTTTTGACCCAGCAATTCCGCTCCTGGGAATATATCTGAAGAAACCCAAAACATTAATTTGAAAGAATATATACACTCCTATGTTCATTGCAGTATTATTTACAATAGCCAAGATCTGGAAACAGCCAAGTGCCCATCATAGTGATGAGTGAATAAAAAAGCTGTGGTACATTTACACAATGGAATACTACACAACCATAAAAAGAAAAAAAAAATCTTGCCTTTGGCAACAGCATGGATAGACCTGGAGATTATTATGCTAAGTGAAATAAACCAGTCAGGGAAAGACAAATGGTACGTGATTTTACTCATATGTGAAATCTAATCAACAAAATAATTTAACAAACAAAATAGAAACAGATCCATAGATATATAGAATAGATTGACAGCTGTCAGAGGGGAGGGAGGTTGGGGGGCTGGGTGAGAAAAAGTGAAGGGATTAAACAACAACAACATGTGTGCACACATGTGTGTATACCCACATGTGTGTACACATGGGTATATACACATATGTATATGCACACATGTGTATATGCACATACATATGTCTGGGGAAAGTCCAGCCATTGTTAATATGATGAGAACAGTTTTTGCAACATTGATGTAACCTGGCAGCCATGGAGAGTGGACTAGAATGTGCATGTGTGAAGAATGATGACTTCACTGTACTGGTCAGTGGGGGTGGTAGACACTGGTGAGTGAGCATGTGTACTGTGTGGCTGTTACGTTCAAATGGACTGAGTAAGTAGAGCAACGAATCTGCATCACATTTTGTGTTAAGCTTGAATGTTTCTCCATGAAAAATATTCAAATGATTTGGAAGGCCATGGCTATGAGCAACTGGTGATTGGCAGGTTCATCATGACAATATGCCTGCTCATGCATCACATCTCATGCAGGGTTTTTTGGCAAAACAGCAAATCACCCAAGTGACTCAGCCCCCCTACAGCCCAGATGTGGAGCCCTGTGACTTCTGGCTTTTCCCAACTCTACCATCACCTTTGAAAGGAAAGAGATTTCAGACTGTCAGTGAGATTCAGGAAAACACGATGGGGCAGCTGATGGTGACTGGGAGAACTGTGTGAGGTTCCAAGGTGCCTACTTTGAAGGGGACTGAGGCATCATTGTCCCGTGTACAATATTTCTTGTATCTTGTGTCTTCTTCAGTAAATGTCTATTTTGCATATTGCATGGCTGGATAGCTTCTGGACAGATTTTATATGTGTGTGTGTGTGTGTGTGTGTATACACTGCAATACTCCAGGGGAGAGAGCTTACATATATGTGTATATGTATACACAGATGTATATGTATATACACACACATCTATCTATATATATCTATATATCCATATCTATCTATCTATATATATGACAAAATATGTGTGTGTATATATATAGACACAGACAATAGTATGGTGATAGCCAGAGGGAAAGGAAGGTGTGGGGAAGTGGAAGTGGGCAAAGGGGGGATAAATAGGGGCAAAAAGAGACTTGACTTTGGGTGGTGACTGCACAATGCAGTGTGCAGATGATGTTTTACTGACTTGTACACTTGAAACCTGTATGGTTTTATTAACCAATGTTACCCCAATAAACTCAGTTTTAAAAAAAGATAAAATATAAAAATATTGATTGGCAAAAAACCCATCATATATGCATATGTACACACATCCACATCCACTGCCATGGAGACGTACATTTTATGAAGAAAATATTAGAGAAGAATTAGGGATTAGAGCTGAGTAAGGGGCTCTTATAGCGAGAGTGATCAGGGGAGATCTCATTTACAGGGTGGCTTTTTGTAAATGTATGGAAGTGAATTGAATCTCATGATGGTCTAGGGAAGCCTTTTCCTCCAGAGAAACAGGAAAGGCTCCCAGGAAGCTGAGCCCTCTGGGCGAGAGAATCAGCTGGAGCTAGTACAGCTAGAGCAGGGGATTGACAGGGCAATGACAGAGGTATATGGAAAAACAAGCAGGGACCAATCACGTGGGCTCATGTGAGCTCAGGTGGGCTGTGGTGAGGACTCTGGTTGTTATTCTGGGTGCGATGTGAAGCCATTAGAGAGTTCTGATAGGGGCCCAGTATGACACAGTGCGTCCTTGACCCCTGCTCATGGCTGGGTGGACATTTCACTGTAAGGAGTGAGGACAGGGGCAAGGTGACCAGTTAAGGGTTATTGCAATACTCCAGGGGAGAGAGCTTACAGTGGATTTCAGAGAATAGAACCAAAGCCAGTAGTTACGAGTTTACATGGAGGCAGATTTTGGCATAGAATGAGTAGGATTTTTTAACTTTCAGGGATGATGGACAATATTGGGCTTCAAGGGTAATGATTCCCTTCCATGCAGTTGCTGAGGTTGAGTGTGATCCCCCGTTCAGAGTTAGGAAGCCACAGGCCTCCCAGGTCCCTCCTACCCAACTAGTCCCCTCTGTTGGGCACCATACAGGTTTCAGAACCCATCACAGGACACAGGCCTGCATCTCAGCCTCTGGAAACACTCTTCACAGTAGTTAAGAATGGACAGATCTGGCTTCTAACGTGGCTAAATTTCTTAGTAGCTATGTGATTTTAGGTAAGCTTTGTCATTTCTCAGGGCCTCTGGTTTTTTTGCATGAGAAATAAAAATTAATGGCCCCTAAAGGGTTGTTGTGAGGATTAAAAGATTAATAAGGTACATCTCTGACAGCTTTAACAAACAGAACAAGCTTTCGATGTTGGTTATGTAAAACTCCTGGGAGAGTTACTTACAAGGAGATGGTGGATGTTCCCAATCAGATGTGAATGAGGTGTGGTTCATGCAGTCGGTGAATCAAGACAGTCACACCTCTGTCCCCAAGGCGGTCCGGAAGAAACTTCTCCTCTGTAACAATGCATCTGGCCTTGGCTGTATTTCATCATGGTTGTCTTTGACACGTGAACTGCTTTGGTTTGAACTGCTTTGGTTAGCACAGGACCCCAGAACGGCCACACCTGTGTTGCCACACAGTCACTCATTGACACTTCACGGGATCTCTATGCTAGACCAGCTTTCTTAACAAAGTGGGCACGCCCAGAACCAGGAAATGACCCTCTTGCCCATTAAAAGGCCCAGGAGTCCTAGACAGCTGGTGTAGTCTGACGTCGGCCCAGGGACAAGAGCATCTCTTGGAATGGAGGTAACTTCTGCCGCTCAGAAGCCATGTGTAGGGCAGCTTCTTTCACTGCTCTGTGTCTCATCCTGAGGAACCTCTGGGGCTGAGGGGCCTGGGGTCTGAGGCACAGGGCATCAGAGGAGCTGGGGCTGTTTCCACAAGCATAGCTGGCTGCTTACTCCCTCCTAGGGATAACAGTAGAATTGAACATGGGGGGCCCTGAGGCAGGGAGAGTGCTGAACAACTGGTTCTCACTGTAGGGAGTCTGTGGTCATTTGGGGGAACTGTCCTGGTTCCCCAACTCAAAGCCCAGAGAGATGCCGTCTGACAGTGAAACATCTAATGGAGCCAGTGGATGTCCATGGATCCATAGAGATGCCCATTTGGATGGGGAATGGGGGGAGATGGGGGTCAGAGAGACAGGCTTGCTGAGAGTTATTTTGAATGTTCAAGCTTGAAGTCAGGGTAATTGGTCACTTACCAGCTGTCGAGGCCTAAATAGAGAATACACACTCCCTTCCTCCTCTAAACCTAGAAACTTGTTGTCCTAGAAGGCTGCTGGGGGATGCTCTGGAATCCCCTAGCAATCCCAGATGTGATGGGTGGAGGGCACCCCAAGGCCATCACAGCCTGGAAAGCCAGGACCATCCAGTCATGACAGAGAAGGAAGCTTCCATTTGGGGGTCTCTGGCTTTGGACTATGCTCTTCCCATCCTTAGTCTCAAATGTGCACCAAGGACAGGATCTCAGGGCATCTTCCTCCAAATGATATTTACACAAATTTATCCAGGTGGATGGGAGAGCAATGAATAACACACTTTTCTTCCTTCCTTCCTCCACAAGACCAGCTGCTCACAATCTCCTGGTGAACACCTACCTGACCTTGTCCTCTTTACAGAAAGCCCTGAAGCCAACATGTCGACCCCACAAAGTAAGTGGCAAATTACAGACCAGCTTGGCAGTCTCTGTCCAGCCTCCCCAAGAACAATAGGGCACAAGGGCCCCTTTCATTTGCTCAGTTATAGTGGTATTTGCTAAAATGTTTGTATCATGAAGCCTACACTTTCATTCTTGTCTTATTACATATATTTGGAACTGTTTACTTATTTTGATAAAGGGGGCAAAGGAAGAAACAAACTACATACAGATGACCCATTGAAATACTTTTGGGTTATTTTAGTACCCAGAGACTATCACTCAGAAAAGGACAAGTCACTGACATCCTAGAAAATCCCTGGGGATCGTGCATGCACATACGTCCTTTCAGACACCTTGATGCACAAACCAGCCCCTGCCTTGGTTCCCCTCCCTTCCTCCTCAGAGCTGTTTTCTCAGAACAGTGAGCCTACCCTAGACATTCAGAAGCCAGCACAGTTGCCTCCCTCATCTGAGGGAGGTATGTTTCAAGATCCCCAGCAGATGCCTAAAATCACAGATAGTGCTGAACCCTGTATGTACCTTGTTTTCTCTCAAACGTGCACACCTTTTCACGCAGGAAATGCTTTACAGCTGCTCTTTGGTTTATCTGAATTGCCAGCATCACTACTCTTGTGCTTTGGGGCCACAGTTACGTAAAATAAGTGTGACTGGAACACAAGCACTGTGGTACCACAGTAGCAGATTTGATAACCCAGAGGGCTATCAAGTGATGCATGGGTGGGGAGTGGACACAGTGTGGACATGCTGAAGAAAGGGATGATTCCCATGACAGGTGGGATGGAGGGGATGGTGTGAGATTTTGTCACACTACGCAGAATCGTATGCAATTTAAAATTTATGGATTGTTTATTTCTGCAAATTTCCATTTAATATTTTTGGACCACAGTTGACTGTGGGTAACTGAAATCAAGGGAAATGAGACAGTGGATAAGGGGGACCACTGTATTAGAGAGTGCAGCTGAGCTCCTGAAGTTTATAACTCCACATGTGTTTTGCACTTTTTGCTGTCATCCGGCAGGTCAGGCCACTCCAGGATTATATAGTATTCGTGATTCTCACCAGATGGTGTGGGTCCTGGAGGGAAGCTCTTTAATCGCAGTTCCTTCTAGCAGCAATGTCAAACCTGGTGAGTGACAATGAAGCCACTGTTACCTGTTTTAAAAAATCCTCACGCAAGGATGTGTTTTATTGATTTGAAGGAGAGAGAGAGAATCAATGGGGTATTGAACCCACAAACTTTAGGTGCCGGGGATGATGCTCCAAATGGCCGAGCCACACAGCCAGGGCCACTGTTGCCTCTTAAAGGGACGCCGGCTCCAGTGGGGATGAGGCTGAGCTTGTATGAGCCTGGTTGTGGCCTCTCCTACTTCTGGGCACCAGCTCAGTGTCCACAAGAGGGGCAAGAAAGGGCAAGGTGGTTCCTGCTCACAAAGGAAACCCTGTACCTAGAAACAGGTGTGAGAGGTGGGCAGCTCCCCTTACCCAAAGAAAATATGATAAGAGGGGATGGCTCATTCAGTCAGCAGCTGACCTTCTCCTAGGAGCTTCTCCTTTAAATTTCAACCATTGCCACCATGTCCTCAGATTGAACACTTTCACACTCCACCACCAAACCTGTGCATTTTCCTAACTTGGTGTCCTCTCCTCTAGGAAATCAGAGAATATTTCTTTCTCCCATCAAAAGTCAATTCATCTCATGTAAATTACGCCTCAATAAAGCTAGGGGGAAAGTCCAACTCAGCTCTTTCCCTTTGCCCAGGACTTCAGTGTTTGATCCCATCTCTCTGTTCCCTACATACCCCACCTTTCTCTGTCTATTGGGTCCTTTCTGACACTGGAAAACATGCTCTGACACAGTATTTCCTGGCTTAATAAATGTTAAATAGCTTCTCCTGATGCCCACATTTCTTCCGACTGTTGTTCTGTTTTCCTATACACAATGTGCCATTCTATACACCAGCCATGGCCAAATTCCACAGAGGAACTGACTATATGAACTGTTTCCATGTCACCTCCTGCTCACGCTTACCCCAAACACTTTCATGTCTAAACTGACCTTTGACCCCTCCCCTTGAGCTCCTTTTTCCAAGGACACCCAGTGTGTTTCTCTGTGCTCACATCTGGTTCTTTAGCCACAGTCAGCACGACTGCTAACTCTTCCTTTCTTGAACACTCTCCATCTTCTCATTCCGTAAGAACATTCTCTTGTGGTCCACATCCTCCTTTCTGATTCCACTTCCTCTGTAAAATGTCCCAGTGCTGGGAACCCTCCGAGCTCAGTATACAGCCACTCTGTCACGAGTGAAGGGGCTGCAAGACTGTCTCTTGGGTTGATAAGTCACCTCTGTCACTCTGGCATTAATGCTTTCAACCCAGATGAACGTTTCATGCCTGTTTAGTGTCCTTTTGGACTCCTCTAACTTTGTCTAGCCTGAGTGAAACTACAGATCTGACTTCTCGGAGCGGCTGACAAACTCACTCTTCCCCATCTCTGTCACCACCATGGTCCTATCCGCTTGAGCCAGGAGCAGGGGAACCCGTGACTCCTGTTTCTTTGGTCTCCAGCCAGTCCATCAGCAAAGACTGATGAGTCTACATGCACAACAGGCCTTATTTCTATGATTATCATCTCATCTGGAGTCCAGCCCCTGCATCCTCACTGCCCCCCATCCTGCCGCGTTTGTGCTGCCTCTAACCGTCCTCCACCAAGAATCACGAGTGACCCTCTTCCTGGGTTAATTGAAGAGTATCATTCCCATGTGTTTGTGATTTGGGGTGGGGGGGTGGGGGTACATAGGAGGTGGGGAGATCCCAGCCTCTGCAGTCATCTTTGAGGCCTTTAACTTAACAAGCTCTTTTCCACCTGTGGCCTTGACCATTCCTTTCCCCGTAATACTTTCCCTCCCAACTCCGTCCCCCACCCTCTATCCCATTTCCTCATTTACTAGCTTCCTCTTAGCTTTAAGGCCCCGGATTGACTTCACCTCTGCAGAAAGGTCTTTACTGGTTTTCCCCTCTAAAGTTGGTCTCTTTCCTACTGTCCCAGGCTTTGGTCGCTTCCCCCAGAGCAGGTATTACAATTTATTGTGGTTCTGGCCATTTCTCTTCTTACAGTTTTCATCTCATTTTCCGTGGGGTCCATGACAAGGTCTGCCTTGTCCTGAGTGTACATTCGAGAATGTGAGAGTGGATAAATTCCCTGCTCCCTGCCCAAAAGGAGCCCCTGCCTGGGCTCCTGGGCTCAATTAGCCAGCAATAAATTCAGCTGATAGTGACATAAACTCAGCTGATTTACCCATGTGATGCAACTTACATAAGATAACATAGATTTCTTTCTCATGTGAAAGAAGCCTGAGCAGGCAAGCTGAGGCGAACGTGGTGAGTCCATGATGCCTTATCAATCTCAAGGCCACCTCAACTCTCACCTAATTGTAGGAAGAAGATACAGGGTATAAAGGAGGAGCTCCTCCCAGCTGAGTTGGCTCCCCTTGAAGAACATTCTGGAAATCCCACAAAACACTTCCACTTGTAGCGCATGGGCTACAACTTAAGTACATGGTCAAAGTTAGCTGCAAGTGTGGTGGGGAATTTTATTTTTATTTTTGGGAAGCTATGTGCCCTGATGACAGCTGGGTTCTGATAGTAAGAAAGAAAAAGGGAAATGAGTTTCTAATTACAACGGAGGGTTTTTAGCACATGGCTAATTGGAGGAGCCTTCCAGGGCAGACCTGGCCACGGGAGTAGCCCAGTGTTAGGCAGACCTGGACTTCCTGCTGCCTGGGGCCTGACATCTGTTTCCATTTCCAGTCGTCATTTCCTCACTACCATGCACAGATGCAAACGTCCCTATTGAAGGAAAAGGCAGCCTGATATACTTGGGAGTCATGGACACAGACCTCTGTTTGTTCTGTGCAGAAACTGAGGGCCAGCCTACTTTGCAGCTTAAGGTGAGTGGTTGTGCAGCTAATGAAACAGTACTATCTGATGAGTACTATGAGACAAGTTTTTATTTCATTTACTGTGTTGCTGAATAAAAATAACATTGTTTCAATCCTGGATTATTAAGTGTAAGGAAGCCTGAGTTGGCTGATCCCCAAATCAACACATGCTACCTCTGGAATGGCTGTAACACTTATTCCACTCTCAGAGTACCCTCTGAACACCAGAAAGGACTCCCACAAGATGCGTGCTTCAGAAAGCCTGGGACTGGTGGCTTTTCTACTCTCCATCCTCTTTAACTGCCTTCTAGAAATCCTCTGAGATGGTGGGATGCTCCCAATTATGCAAAGGCCACCACACACAGAAGAGACAAGGGGAGAATGTTAGTCTGGATCATGTGGATTTCACATCTGTGGTCCCTGCACTGAAAGCAGCATTAGGGGTCATGATGGATGCTGCAATGTGCAAACAAACCCACTAGAGACTGGGAATCCTGTGAACCTGGCCCAAACCTGCAGATGGGTGCCTAACAGGAACACCTACGAGATAATTAACCCCGCTTTGTTTTCGGGGAAGATGGTGTTGTCTCGAAGAATCAGAAGCACCTGGTTTGGGGAACCAGCATGTTGCCTATCCTGACACCTGTCATCCTCCTCTTGTCCCTCCCTTTGGGGAAAGCAGTCACTCCCAAGGCTGAATTAGTTTAGCTCCCTCCTCCCAGTAATCCTGTCTAATAGGCCTCTTTCCTGCTCCTAGGAGAAAAAGATAATGGACCTCTACATGGAGAATGAAGCGCAGCTGCCCTTTCTCTTTCTGCACAGCATAGAGGGCTCCACCTCCACCTTCCAGTCGGTCGCCTATCCCGGCTGGTTCATAGCCACTTCCTCTGAGGTGGGACAGCCTGTCATCCTCACCAAGGAGAGGGGCAAAACTTACAACACCAACTTCTTTTTCAGTTCTTGGACGGGATTTCAGTGAATCCCACCTGGGTCTGGGGTGGCTGATTCGGAGACAGAGGATCAAGCAGTCAGAGAACTTTCTAGGTCATTGTTAGAGACCACGGAGCACTGATGCCCACCTCATGCTCAGCACCCAAAACCGCCTCCTCTAGGCACACACTGGCACACCACACCCAATGCTGGAGCGTCACCCCCATATGGAACCTGAGAGTCACTTTTCATTCTTGCCTGATCTTGTCCCACCATCCACGCAGCGGCCAAGTCCAGTTAAGTCGACATCTCAAATGCTCCTCCTGACAACCTGTGGCCCAGAGATGATATTTCATGTAACTCTTTCAATAAAAATGTTTTTTATTAACTGTATGCATGTTCATTATAAGTATTGTAGTATGTACTCCCAACGATAAATCTAAAGGGTAAGACAAATGTGAAATGTAATTTTACATGTCAATAATCATGATGAATTTTTAATATCATTAGTTAATAATTTGACACATAATCTATACTTTAGTTAAGATTAATTGTTTAACAATAAGAATGCAGATCAATCCATGTTTCGAAGAATCACTTATATTGGTTTGAATTTTTTTTCAGGCAGCTCCTTAGAACTCATTGTATTTTCCTTGTTTTTACTTTCTAAAGTGGCTGGCAGTAGGAGGGCCCCTGTGAGATTTTCTTGTTATCATTCATACTTCTTTGAATTTTAGTAGAACCTTTGATCTTTATGGGGATGCTTTTAAGCCCATTGTCTACTTTGTGAGGGTTACTTCAGCTGAAGCCTGTAATAGAATCTACAGATGCACTTCACCAATCACATATGAACCTGAGTGTGAGCACGACAGGCTCTTCCCTCAGGAAACATTGCCCTTCTCTGCATGTGACAAGTGGAGTTGTCAGGTTTTGCAATGGGTACCTATTGCTAACTAAGTTCAATTTCTTAGCCAAGCACAATCTGTTCCAAGACCTATCCTTCTGGCATTACCATCTGTTGCTTCACTGCCCATGAGTCTTTGGGATAACACCTTGAACCTCACCTTATACCCTGTTAGCCTACCTTTTTCTCAGTCATTGCTGTGCTTTGAGAACTTTTAACCTGACAGCATGTCATCTTGGCTGCACCAACCATCTCTCCCTGCTCTGGGGCACCTAGGACACCTGGAGAAGGATACTTGCAGGGACCTGCTTGGCACTCATGCATGCACGAGAGCTGCTCCAGAAGAAACCTTCACCAATCGGAGATGGGAGTGGGTGGGGAAATTCTACCTCTTCCAGCTCTCCAGTAGGTAATTCTGAGATGCATTCTATCTACATGATCCTCAGAGAGTCCCAGCAGGACTGTGTCATAGTCTCCCATGGCAGTCTAAGCCCAGGAACACACCCTTGCATTGGCTTCCCTGCTTCAACTCCCCCAGCTCCCACTCCTGTTCCCTTCAGTCATTCTTCATCATCTTGCAGGCAAATCCTTTTCTCAGGCTCTGCTTTCTGGTGTAAATCTAGGCTGAGGTAGATTCAGTCAAAGCAACTTCTTTTCTCTACCAGCTACTTGAAGCGCATTGGCTTTCTTCCCTCCACACCTTCTCTCATGCAAACATCTCAAACACTTTCATCCCTGTGTATCTCACCTACGCATGTCTCTCACATCCTACATTGGTCTGAAGTGTTTAGAGGTCTCTCCTTAACACCCCAACCTCATGCAACATCTTATTTTCTTTGAAGTCCATTGCATTTTGCCTTAACATGCAATATTTCTTTTGCTGGACTTGGTGGTAGAGCTTTTCCCCCTTGCCTTGGCCCCCTTGCTCTCTTCCTTTCAACCAAATTCTAGGTACACAGAGAGCAGAGATTGTATCTTTTAAGTCTATTTACCCCCTGTAGGTGTCAACTATTACCTCTTATATAACAGTTTCTCAAAAAATATTGTAAATACATTCTTTATTTTCAACAGACTGACAATCTACCCTTCAATGTGGCTTTTTCAATTTATATTCCCAACAATATTTATCCTTCTCTGCTCAAAGCTTATTTTTAAATTAAAAATCATTGTTCGTCCAATGTATAGAGAATAATATCTTGTTATTTTAATTTGTTTGCCTCTGATTACCAGTAGGCCATTCACTACTCAGTACATTCCAGTCTCAGCATCTAACTTCACCAAAACCTTTCTTTTGAGCATCACCAGTGACGCCTCTGTTGCCAAATCCAGTGGACACTCTGCTGCCCTCATCTTAATCAGTGTTGGACATAGCCTGCTGCTCTTCCTCATTCTTACACTCATACTCAGTGGCTCTGTGGCCAGTTGTCCCTCATTTTCCTCAACCCCAGTGTCCTTTCCCTCTCACTCCTCTTCTCTGGGTCCTCCTCATGTGACTTCAAAGGTTGAAGTTCCTCAGGGCTCATCTTCAAGTCCTCTTCTCTTCTATGCTGTCTCCCCGGATGACATTATTAGATCTCATGAATGGAACATAGTTCAGATGGCTGGTGACAGTTTGGTCTTATCCAAGGCTCCTGTTGGAACACCAGTTTGTATTGTTTCAGAGTGTGCAGATTTAATATGTCTTAAGTAGTGCCCTTGACCCTTTCCAAACATACCCAATTCCCACACCCAATTACTCAACAGAGAAACTTAGGACTCACCTTTGATTCCTCCTTTCCTGAAGCCCTATATCTATCCCATCAAGTCTATCTCCAAAGACGTCTACCTTCAAAATATACCTCAACTCCACCCATCTCTCTCCAATGTCCCTGCCACTCATCACTGCATGTAAGACAACCACCGTCACTCACCAGACTGTAAGTCAGCATCCTGGCTGGTGCCTCCATCCATGCCTCCAACTATCTATTAAATCCATTCTCCATGAGTCAGCCAGGATTATCTCCATAAGTGGAAATTCAACTGTGTCATTCTAATGTTTAGTCACCTCCAATGCTTCTGTTTGCACGTACAAGGAAATGCAAATTCCCTATCTCTGTCTCCAACACCCATTCCAGCTCTTACTTTCCCTCCATTGCTATCTTCGGCCATGCCAATCCATCAGTTTCTTGAACGTTCCAAGTTCTTTATAACCCCAGAACCTTTGCATATGCCATGCTCATGTATATTCCTATTACCTGTATTAGTTTCTCTTCAGTACTTGCCTTTCTGGACTCTTTGTTACTTTTTCATACGTCACCTCCTCAAGAGGCCTTTCATGCAGCTGTCCCCTCTCTGCACTCTGACTTGTGATCTTTAACAATTTATCTTTGTGGACTCTCAGCTTCATCTCCTCTACTTGAGTAGAATGCTGGGCTCTGCCTGGGTTTCTCTTCCAAAGGATCACTGTCCTCTCCTGGCTGATGCCCAGTGCTCTCAAACCATTGTTTCACAGGTTTTATCCTTTTGTTTTTGTAGACTCAGGTAGGAAGTTGAATTGGTTCTTATTACCACACCTTTCTGGAAGCAGATACAGGAGTCTCAGATTAGCTTCTGGGTGATCCAGTACAAGTTAGGCTTTTTTTTTTTAAATCAATTTGGCTATTTATTGAGTACCTTTTGTAGATATGGTTGGGGTGGGGATGAGGAATACAAAGATGAGAATTTTTTGGGGGGGGAGGGAAGGGAGAGGGGGAGAGAGAGAGAGAGAGAGAGAGGGAGAGAGAGAAACATTAATGTGCGGTTGCTGGGGGTTATGGCCTGCAACCCAGGAATGTACCCTGGCTGGGAATCGAACCTGGGACACTTTGGTTCCCAGGCCACGCTCAATCCACTGAGCTACGCCAGCCAGGCACAAGTTAGGCTTTCAATGTGTCGGATGAACTAGTCTTCTCAGGACTGGACTGTGTGGCTGCAGAGATAACTCACATGGACAAAGGCCTTACCAGAAATACCAGAGCAAAGTTAGGATGCAGGGGATAATTCCAACTGATGTTCATAGCACAATATAGCTTTCTGGTCTAATATACATAAAGCCCATAAAATTGGTCCCAAGTTAGGTATTGTAGAATATAACATGCTGAATAACAAACATAAATTAATTTTTTGAATATGTATACAAAATTTAAGTTAACCATTAGAAGAATAAAAATGGAATTGTATGCCTCTGACACTTAGCAGAAAATTAAGTGAACCCCCCAAAAAAGAGAGAGAGAGAATAAATCAAACAAAAAGCATAAATGGAACAAAACCAAAATTATGGGAGACAGAAAACCTAAACTAAAATGACAAAATAAGCCCAAATATATTAGTTATCCCAATAAAAGAAAATGGATTAAATTTATTAGTCAAAGTGGGACACTTTTAAAAAACACATGTAAAGACAGACTGTTAATACTTATGTTGAAATAACAGGGGTAATCCTAAACTTTTCCCAACAAACTGGACCATAACAAAAAGCAGACAGTGTTTGGTAGGGATTAGGGGTTGGGGTGGAGGCCAGATGTGGCTATAAAGGGGGAGTGTGACAATGGAATAGTTCTGTTTCTGTATTGCATGTTGTTGTACAAAACTATAGTTGGAGAATTCAACATTCCTTTCTCCATCATTACTAGAACAAGTAGAAAGAAAATCAGGTAGAAGAGACCTAAAAAACACTGTCAACCAACTAGACCTGTTTGACATTTACAGGACTGCCTACCCCAAACAGCTGAATACACTTTCTTTTTCAGTGCACACAGAATAGTTACCAAGGTAAGTCATATTCTGAGTTGTAAAACATATCTCAATAAATGTAAAAGAATGGAGATTACACAACATGTATTCTCAAACCACACCTGAATTAACTAGAAGTCAATAATACTTCAAAGCTTACTACAAAGATGAAGCAATCAAAATGGTGTGATACTGTCATAAACAGAGACATACAGGCCAGTGGAATGGAGCGCAGAGCCCAGAAATCAACCTGCACATACGGTCCCATGATTTTCACCAGAGTGCCATTCAATGGAAAAAGACAGCCTCTTCCACAAATGGTGTAGGGAAAACTAGCTATCAACATGCAAAAGAATAAAATTGGACCCTTATCTAATTAACACCATGTACAGAAA